TTTTTTTTTTTGGCACCAGAAGGTTGGGGGATGTTTTCTCAATTTCAAGTTAAGTTATTGAGACTGTATAATTAAAATGTTATATTTATGTGCCTTAGTCTTGGTGTGATGGCACATACAGTCAGCTCTATAAACGAGTTGTTTTAAGTACTACTAATTTTGAGCTACCTCATTTTGAAGGTGAAAATCTAATGTACAGCTTTCTGGTCTAAGATGTATTACATTATACTTTGGCTGAACTAAACAATATTCTAGAAATTAAATCAAAATTGACCACCTTTCATTTGACTTAAATGGATTACCAGCAATAATATTATGTGATGCAGATACACTTAAAACTGGTAATGTCATTTATGCAGTGCTTTTAAATGCCCCTTACTCTTTGTAAAATCTCTATCCTGGGATATTTAAATGTGAAATTTACAATTCTGACTGTGTTCCACTGAATAATGTATTTAGAGTGTTGTCTTTCTATTAACATGTTATAATCAATTTTAGTATCATTCGAACAATTGATGGTAAAGTCCTACACAAGTACAGACACCCAGCGGCAGTGTTTGGTTGTGACTGGAGCCAAAACAACAAGTACGTATTTTTTTTCCCTGACACAAATAATAAATAACTTTGGGAGATTTAAACACGAGGTTTAATGCTATTCCTGTAGGTAGTATGGAAATTCCTCAAAGAACTAAAAGCATACGTACCATTCAATCCAGCAATCCCACTCCTGGGTATCTGTCTAAAGGAAAAGAGTCATTTTACCAGAGGGACACCTGTATTTGAATATTTGTAGCAACACAATTCACAATTGCAAAGATGTGGAATCAACCTAAGTGCCAATCAATTCATGAATGGATGAACAAAAGGTGGTATATGTCTACCATGGAATGCTACTTTGCCATAAAAATTATGAAATAATGCCCAAAAAAATGCTATTCCTATAGGTAATACTCTTCACTCTTTTTAGGTAGTATTCCCTTTACCTAACAAATGAAAAGGAGCCTTATAATTGCTTGCTTTTTTAAGCTGTTTTTATTCCATCAAGTTTTTACATGATTTAGAAACATCGATTTCCAGCTTTCAAAACAACTTTCAAATATTTAGGAAGATAGCATACTGCTAAGTAATGAAAAACAGGAATTAGTCCATTCTATGGGTACCCTGTACTGTAGAAACATGCTTTCTGTTTTATTTCTTTGGAATCTACACGTGATATTGTCCCGGTGACTTCCCATTGTCCCTCGACTAATGTTAGTGCCTTTGCGCTGGAAAATTTCCCAAGTTGTATAGCTTCAGTGGATGGTTTTGAAAGGTCAGCCTTGTTTGAGAGCCAAGAATTTTCCATGTAAAAATCAGCTTAGATTGGGTGGCACCTGTAGCTCAAAGGGGTCAGGCGCCAGCCCCATGTGCCAGAGGTTGTAGGTTCAAACCTAGCCCCAGCTTAAAATCGCAAAAAAAAAAAAAAAAAAAAATCAACTTAGAGTTAAAATTCAACCCAAGTCAAATCTTTACAACCAGTGGGCCTTTAACACATTGCATTTTCAAGAATTTTATGTTTCAGATTTCCCTTTCATGGGATATAAATAACATTTAAAAATTGTTAGATATTGTCTAAAACAGCAGTTCTCAACCTGTGTGTCGCGACCCACATTAACTGTATTAAAGGGCCATGGCATTAGGAAGGTTGAGAGCCACTGGTCTAAAACAATCTGAATTATACTTTTCCATACTACCTGTGGGAAATGTGCAGATTGACGTTAAAACCTTATAATGCTTGTGTCAAGTCACATATCATACAAAATGATGGACCTATGTATTTCCTTCAAAAATGTGGACGGATTCATAGACCACTGTTCAGGTTATGTGCAAACTGGGCTCATGACCAGCTCATCCTCCCGTATTTCCTGTCTCTGTGGCTGATCTTGCTAACAACAAAAATCAATAAAGCCAGACTCCCCCCTCTCTTTTATATCTTACTATCTCTCCATTTCTACCCATTCCTGTCATATTTTCTGTCTGAACATTCTTCTTTTTCTTACCATCCCCCTGCCACCAAACCTCTAACATTTGTTTTGTTTGTTTTGCTTTTGTACTCCTGAAAAAACTCCTTCCTAACCACGTGCAGGATCCTATATGCTTTATCACTCCTCCCTGTTTTCACCATCCCACCTTTCTATGCTGCAGAGCAAACACTTCAAACACAGATCTGAGCACATTATTCTACTACTTACAGCTGTCAAGAGATCCCACTAAGTGTAGGATAAATGGAAACTCTTAGCAAGCTCTACAAGGAAGGCCTTGTTAACCTGGTTCCTCCTGGCTGCTGTCTACTTTAAGCTCAGTTCAGACCTTTGCTTCTTGCCTCCAGCCACATTAGCATTCAGTTTCTTTTTTTTTTTTTTCTTTTTGCAGTTTTAGTTGGGGCCAGGCTTGAACCTGCCACCCCCAGTATATGGGGTGGGCGCCCTACTCCTTGAGCCATAGGCACCGCCCTGGCATTCAGTTCTTGATCTAGACAGCTGGCTTTTACCTCAAGGTTTTCACTCATGCTGTCCCCCTCTCTCTAGGAATCTAATTCTCACCCCCACACCATGCAGCTTACTAGGATTGGACATAGGTAACAGCTGCCTGTCCTTCAGCTCCCAACTCAAAAACCACTTCCACAGAAAGTCTTCTCTGACCCCCATATTAGATAAAATTCCAGTATAATAGGCCTTTTACTATAATAAAATCAAAATTTTAATTACATATTTGGTTGCCCATTGGCTGTGTCACCTTCTAAAATGTCAGCCCTGTGACCCTGTGAGATCATCACCTGTGTTATACACGCTTAGTGGTGTATTCTTAGCAAAACGTGGTGTCCCTAGCCCTCCCTATGCCTTGAAAAGGGTAGATGTTCAATAAATATTTGTTAAATATACAAATGAATAGAATTATCCTCTATCTGACCAATTAAATGACTTCACATTCTTATTTCTCTGTTTTATAGAGTTAATAAGAATTTGGTCAGTTGAAATAAAAATTAAATAGTGATTAATATGTATACTTGATTAAGAAACCTGTATTTTAAAATGATACTGGAAAGCCTTTGTACTTAACTATTATTAACCTTTATTCATCTTATACTTAACATTTTAGTAGATAAGTGGAAACATCTTGAACATATAAAAAGTGTATTCATAAAGCTCTGACTTCAGAATTTATATATCTTTATGTGCATTCTTTGAATGTTTATGATCTCATTTCTAAGATTTTATATTTATGTATCTGCATAGATATAATACACAAATATATCACAAATACATGTAAATATATGTAGGTATGCTAAGTATAGTTTACTAAATGGAGACACTGGCCTGTTAGTGCTCTTAAGGTACAATCTGCCCACCTTCAGATTGCCCCACCAGTTTGCAAACTGGTGTATTTCTGCATGTGGACCTGAATAAATATAAGCACTATAATTCTTTGTGACAGAATCAACAATTTGTGATGACACTCGGGTTCCAAAGTGTACTTTCCCCTCTTTGCCTTTAGAAGGTGAGGACTGTTTATACGGTAATTGGAGGAGATGTTCCTCCAGCAAACTGTGTTCTGGCAGGTGCGTGGTTCCCACAGATCTGCGCAGTCCTCTTATTCCCTTCCTAGGGCTATACCAAGTCTGACCTCTAGGGTCCAAGAAGTTGCTTGGTTTATTCTCTTGTGCAAATAATGAGCAAAGATTCTTAGTTTCATAAAACAATTAAGGTACCTCAAAGTGGGGAAGCCACTGAAAAGGAATGGAAAAAGGAACTGACTACAGTACAGTGTGGTAGCCCTGGGCTGCAGGGAGATTTTCCAGCACACTTCCAAGGGAACGCTGCTGTTTGTACTCATGGCACAAAAACTTTAAGAAAAGGCCATCATAAGGAATAATAATTTGTTTACTAACAAGTAAGCAAATCTCAGCATGCATCGTTTGGGACCCTTAAGACCCATTAGTTGCAAAATACAAAGTTTGAGAGGCATTCAAAAAGTTATGAGTCTGGACATTTGGAAAAAGAACTTATAGAAATATAAATACCATTATCTCTGATCTAAGGTAAATGAAATAATAAAATAATAATTCAACTAATTAAAATGGAACACAGA